GCCTCCCTACTGTCTCCGCTGCTATCATTACTAGTCCGCCACCGCGTCATGATGGTTCTCATCTGGCGGCTGAAGCCTAAACGCAGCGTTAAGCCAAAAGACGACCGAACTGATCGCGGACCTTATTTCAGCCCATCATGTCGCCGGTCATGAGTTAACCAAATCTCTTTAACACGTGCGAAACTATGAGAGGAAAAATGCCATTTCCGTTATCAGCAGCAGCCACCCTCCCTCCCACCCCCAACCAAAAACTGAGCTCCTTCCGGAAGAAAGCACTGCGGCACGGACGCGCGGGCCCACGCGGCACCTGCAGCGGCGCGCCGGCGACGCGGCGCGGCTGCAGCGGCGGGCGGAGAGGGCGGGGCGCGGGGCGAGGTTGGCGATCGATGGGCGCGTCGCGCACCGCCGGCGTGCAGGTGGGCGGGCGCACGCCGACGCCCCCGCGCCTTGGGGTAGGCCCGCCGACGATCACAACATCCGGCCGGGCCACTCGCGGAAAGCAGCACACCGCGCTCGGACCCACCGTATAACCAAATTAAATTCAATCCAAACAAAACAAAAAATACAGGAAGGGTACTTCACAAAAAGAATACTGCACGCTAGGCAATCAGTGCTAATAAACAACAATTTAATTACGTAAATGTAACAAAATTCTATTCCTCCCAATATGGAAAAGAATTGAGCACGATCGTACGTCCATTTTAGCGCAAATACTCAATACCGCGAATAACTACGCAAAGCATAAGATTTATTACTGTAACTAATGAGTCTTTCATAACTATGCAGTAATCTACCATTAAAATGTTATCCATGCCTTTTCATAGCTACAATGAATAATTTTCTTTGTCTCTAAGATAACGAACCGGACAATGCTTCATTTTAAGTAAACTGCTTATTTCATACGACGTGAGTCATCTTGCTGCTACCTTTCTGCTGCATTCGATTCCCCCGTAGAACTAGCCGCCCCCCCCCCGTGTCGCTGAAAATTCTTGCACAACGAAAAAACGAGCGCTGCAAAAGCTCAATGACTAAACAAGTGGCATCACTTACTTGCTCCAAAGCCAAGCTGCTTTCACCAATCTAACATGCAGCTGCCTCCGCAAGCAGTGCTGCCGCCGTTTTCTTAAGACAGACACCTGGCTCTGAAAGTCAAAATCGCGAGGTGCTTCGCGATTGGTTCCGGGATTTCGATGAAGTCTGCAAACCACAGTCTGCAAACGCTAATATTGGCGGTGACGACCGCAAACGAGACGGGATGGCGTGGTTTGTAAGACCCTGCTATTTATGTCCACGAGTTATTCGTTACTGCGCTTCTTTAATACATATGTATGCTTTTCTATAATAATTGCTATCGGTCGGTAAATCTTCCACTTACCGAACAAATAAAAGATATTTATTACATTCCAAACAATGAAAGATTTGAAAAAATTTAAATGGATATCGGAAATTGGTTTTTCTAACATTGGATAAGTGGCATCCAGCAATTCCATGGCAAAAATAGAGTTAAACCATTCGAACCAGCCTATATTCAATCACTGACCCTTCAGACAACATATTCAATGGGCTAATTGTAAAACAAAACTTGACCGAGCATGAAAATTGCCATCCACATTTTGTTCATATACAAAACTGTCAAGACTTCAGGGAACCCGTAGAAATGAAAAATACAAAATACAAAACCGGATCACGAATCACAATAACTAATACGCAAAATTCCCTTGAGTATGTTCAATTGTAAGCTAAATGGGCCTTAACGAGATTGCCGACGCCCTTCCTCGCTGAACTGAAAATTAAGAGGTGCGGTTGACCTAAAATGATTATATTGCATTATGTGGCATATCTCATTCAATAACATTACTCGTAAGTGATAAAGTCTATAGTAGCTTCGGTGCATTTGAAACTTTCGCGTGTGTTAGGTTCCTGGAGAAGGGACGAGAATCTTTCAACTTACAAAAGAAATGCATTCGTTTCACAATTCCAATAATGTTAAAAGGCGCGAACAAAATCAGGGCACGATGATTAAGACACGACACAAAAACATTATCTTAACTCTAAACATTTACAATTAGAAAAAACGTGTTAAATGCCTTGTAAAAACGTTTAATTACACTGACAATTTTGGATAAACAAGTTTTTGAGCTATACTCTTCGAAGATTACAATCTTTACTGGTTTTGGCAGCACTGACTAAACCTGTAGCATACTAAAGTGTAAACAGAACTGACCTTGTGCAGCCTGTTCAATTCTGTAAACACGACCTTTCGTCGGTAAGCTTTCTTGCTACTTTCAAAAAGGCAATGTGAGGGACAATGGAACGAAGCCGGAGGGCATGTTCTCGCACTCAACGCCTCCAACGAGGGGCACGGGCCAAAGAACGGCGCTGCAGCACGGTTTGGAATTGTTAGCGCGAGGCCCTTGACAACGCGGCCACAAAACAGCGGTGCGAGGGCGAAGGTCGCGTAAAGCGCCAATGAACAGCGCCAAGGTTGAGCAATCGCTAGGTGCGGGCCGCGCAGGCTGCGTACCGCGCGCCAACAACCTGCTGCCGCCCCGCCAATTACGCTCTGCCTTCGACCACTGTCGCACGAGCAACAGGGCCGCTTCTTATGAGGGAAGCAAAACGTGCCCCACGAAAGTCTTCACGAGAAAATCCTCGTAAACTTTGGGAGAGAAAACGATATAATTAGGTTTCTTATATAACAAAATGCAGTAAAATAATTTGTCACGAATGCATTTTTTACTGCTAATGAAGTTTGTGATTTTAAAAATGCATTATTTTTTTAAATTGTCACTATATTATTTACATGTACATGGAAAAATGTATACATCTATAGAATACGAATGAGCAGACGAGATAACTTTTCTGAGCGAAGCTTCAGGAATTCCCCTTGCCTCCTCTCTGCCAAACTTCGCCCATTCATTAGAAACTCAGTCCTGCCGAACTCCCATTTAACTTTAGTTGTAACATGATCCAGGTCTGAAGAGATTATCGAAAAACACGTGATGAGGTCATCTTTTAAGACCCGGTTCATGCTATACTATGAACTATTCAAGGAGATGTTTGGAATGTAATGTACACATTTCACATCAATACTGCTTTGGGACATTTTTACAAAAACAATTAAAAATACCCGCAAAAGCCAATCCAGATCCAAAACAATCTTGCAGCCTGCCATTACGGGTCAGATTCCGAGAGAAAGTCTGACATGGTATATCCTATTATTAGCTTTACAATAACGCGGGAAGCAGTACTCCACTCGACACCACAAGGGCGAGAGTTACGCAAGAGCACTTGCGGTCGACAACCGCTCCCGAGAGCTCACACCATCTGTCACGCCGGCTCCGCGCCGCCCGGCTCAGCGCCCACATTGCGCTTCTTCGGGAGATGCGACACGGGGCACGGGACCGCCAACTCGGGAAGAAAGGCCTCCGGAGCCATTGCATTTCCGGAACGATGAAAAAAAAAAAACACTCTGGGTCCTTCACAATTTTCTACGTCCATTTCGCTAAACCTCTCACCCCCGTTCATGTCATGCAAAATGTACGGATCGTTGTATATTTCTAATTTTCCAATAAGCACTAGATCTAGTTACTCAGCCGATGAGAAAGACCAAGACTCGCAATAGAGATAAATGAGCATATATGCGAGATGCACTTGGATGGGCGAATACGAGTTAACGGGATAAGAGTTTCGTAATGCAACTGAATTTTCCAGTGATTTATTCATGACATTTTACAGAAAAGTGTTCATCACATTTGCTCGACACCCACGCGTGACCTTTTTCCTACGACGTTGTCACATTAATTTGAAGTGTTGAGAACCGCAAAGTATTTTCCCCAATAGATAAATTTTAACTTAAGTCACGCATAGTAACATCACAAAATGTCACATTGTAGATAAGTTGCACCGTAAAATACCAGGACGGACTCCCGAACCATTTAAACATAAAAATGAATATTAATTTGCAGACTAAACTCCTCAGTTTGCACTTAAAAATCTGCATGTTATATCAACAGTTTCACATCATTGTTTACTAAATTCGCAAGAAAAATATATTATTTTTAATACATCACTACCAAATCCGATCGGCCAAAGAATATTTCACTTCTGGGGAAAATAAAATGTTCAAGACTTGAAATACAATTTCTGGTCCTCCACCACTTCAAACTTTATCGTTATCTAAATCGATAATAAGAATTCTATATTAGCACGTAAGCAGGCCTGAAGATCCTAATGAGGAATTTAGGCGCTTCTGCATCGGGAGCTCCGGGTCCCCCTACCCGAGCATCGGCCCCGTTCCCCACTGGGCCACACTGTTGACACGGGGTAGCTGGAGAAAAGCGACGAACCCGAAGGGGAGGGGAGGGGGCGCTCGCCCGCGTCCTTGACATTGGAAGAAATAAAATGGAGGAACGCGTGGCGTAAATAAAGGCTACCCGTCTGGAAACAACCTTTACCGACTGCGTAAAAACAACTCTTAACACATCGACAAGTTTCTATTAAACTGGTGCCACCTTGGACGGGGCAGACGACTCGCCATCGGCGCGAATTTAACGTTGGACATTCTTACGCTCTCCTGCCTTGTCTGCTGGGAAGCTATTGTCACCACGCACTACTCTTTTTGCATCGAACATCTTAGCACCACATTTAAACGTACACTTTACTACAAACAAATATTCAACATTTTTATTTCCATTAACTAAGTTCAACAACGCGTTTTCAGTAGTTTCTTGACAGCCAGTCAATTTGCAAACTAAATGCACAACATTCAATAAACGTTTTTCCATTCAAGGGCTACAGATTAATTAGTATAAAATGAAACGTTTTCAAAAATCATGATCTACGGTTCCTTTGTTACGCAAAATATTTCTCACAAAATTATCTTCACAGTGCACATGTACGTCACTAAAATGTAACTATTCTACAAACGTAAATGGAGTCTAATTTTTAAAAAATGCTAATTTCCTAAAAGAAAGACACTATGTTGAAGTTTTACTCACCGACTTCGGCATCTTGGCAGATTTTCTGAACCGCAAATACAGAAACAAAAACACCTAAAACACACAAAAAAGTCATGAGACCAACCAGTAAAAAAAAGAAAAAGTGTTCGAACAACACTAAGCTTATTTTGAGTGTACTTTGCAAATGGTGCACTACTCTTCCACGCCGATACAAAAAACACGAAGTATAGAGTAGGTAATGTATAATTAACTACACCGTTAAATAACTTATAATGCTGACGAACATAGATTCACAGCTGGTGTGATAATTTTGCTCTGGTTAATTAGAAACTAGAAAACATGACTAACAAGTCTTCGCCAGTCCAAACATTATGTATTTTTTTCATCTTACAAGACGATCCAGGTAAAATTACGAATTGTAACCACTTACACGTTAACTTAATCTCGCTCTCTCTTACAAAGTTACGCTTCTCAGGAGTTGACAGAGTAAGGTTACAGGTGGTGAAACGCTGGCTACCGTGTCGTTAACTTACAACTTACAAGAGCGCGAAAAGCATTCCTGTTTTATAAAACTTCACAAACTGTTTCAATTATCGTGACCATCATAACATTCACAACACCATCACTGAGAATTTAATTTGGTTAAGATTTCCAAAGCATGACCTACAAGTTGGCACACACGATACTAGCGCTTTTCAAAATTTCACCGGCCTATAAACGAATATCATTTATATCAGAAAATAAGTCTCGCATACTCCTCACCATACATTTCTCTGACATATACTTACTACTATTCACAATCAGTAACTCCGTGACCCAATTACATGCGTATGCGCGCTACTTCTCATAAGAACACACACCTCTATCCGTCACGTTGAATGACACCTCACAAGTAATATGGCCGCCGCAGGAAGGGTGGAGTGCTGCAGTAGAAGAAAATGTGGGCTGTGAGTTCCACGAATGGCCACTGCAAGTTCAGCGCTCTATGACATGTAAAATCCTTGAGATTTCGTAGACGTGGACCACAACTTTGGTACAGAACTTGCATGAAAGGCTACGTACTCCATTCAAGTGATAAAAAAACATAATTTAACATGGTTCCAAAATTGTTACCATTTTACTATATTCCGTACGTATCAATTGCTAGGAAATTTGTTCTTTCGACACCTTGACCGGTTTTACTGAGGGTCTCATTAGATATACTTAGCGACAATTATACTTTCGAAATAGCCTACGTTTACACAACACATTTTGCATGAATAGCACTGAATGAAATTAAATATGTGATTGTAGTTATTCAGAAATTAAAAGTGTCGTTGAAAATAAAATAAGCAGATACATATTTTCATTACTCCAGAAGTAGAATTGCAGAAAGAATGGATAGTAAAATATGTTTATAATATTTAAAGACTGGACTTTCTGGGTCAATTATGTACGATTTTCACGTAGTATCAATCTCGTTGCCACTTTAGTGCATTGCCATCGATTGCCATCCACCCCGGTCAACATGGTCAATCTCCGCAATGCTTATAGTTTTCTAATAAGCATACAATTCGAAGCGCTAATTTTAAATAAGAATGACCAGCCAAGAGATTAAAGTGCAAGTGGACATTGCACAAAAATTTGATAATTTTGGAATTACTACGGTGAATTACCCATTCCAGATATGCATTTTGCTGGTTACAAAATTGAACTATGAGAGAAGAATTGATTGCATTAAAAAAGCAATTCATTAATTTCATTCAATATCTTCATTAAATTCAATATTGCATTCAACATCTTACAGAATGTGAACGTGTACTCTCATATGCTATATGGTTGATTTCATTAATGAAATATATATTGTCGACTTCATATAAAGACTTCGTTAAAAGACGTTCGATATAAAGACTTCAATAATCCATTTTTTCAGTTCACGTGCTGAATGGACAGGAAAAATAGTAGCTCTATGTTACTTTTTCTTTCTTCCAAAAAGATTTTGATTTCCACACTATTTTTAACATGATGTTGTAGGCTTGTGGGGCCAAAGTCATGATCTGAGCAGGATGAGTGTTTGGACCTGAAGGCGGCATTATGGCCCTGAAGAAGGCCATGTTATGTTGGTTTAAACATTGGCACGTTAGCCTTCAATGGGGCATTCCCTGAATAGCACAGATCATATTTTTAACATCTATTAATTAATATGTTATTTCATGTTAAACAGCAGAGAGAAAAAATAATTTGTAAAATTGTTTGGCTTGCTAATCTGACTATAAAACCTTGACTTTTAATATCATGAACTACTTATTGGGCTTTCGCTAAGCAATTTAAAATTTTAAACCTTTACAGTCATTTCTAAATGAAATTTATCTCAATAGGATAATATTATAATGCTAATAATTTCTGAATTGTTGCCATCACAGTTGTGTCAAGCAATATGAGTTGTGTGGCTGATTTTATGGATTCCTTTGAAATTACAATAGTATTTATTTTAACAGTCTCACAAATTAGTTTTTAACATATATATCAGTACAGTATTTATTAGTACATAAATTGGTATATCAGTTGAAGTTATAAAATGTCATGATGACATTCATGGAGAATATTGGTGTAAATCCAATTTGTATGAATCAATATGAATCCTGCCAAATTGTACTAACCATACAAAGAAGTGTGGTTTATTTCACTGTCAGTTACAATGAGAACGTATGATGATCTTCTCCCCCATATGTCACATACAGTTTGTACTATTTTTGACTAAATAAATCTAAATGCACAAGTTAAATAAAACACACTTGAGTGCACAATGAGCATAATTAAAAAAACAATCACTTTTTTTGTATTCTAGAAGAAGAATATAGGAAAAATTTAAGTTTCAAGCACAATCAATTTTGGCACAAAATATTTCATATTTCAGCTTC